CGGCCCCATCGACAGACATCCGTAGCACAACACATCACAAGTTAGTTGCCCGCTTATATGGCCCTTTTTGCAGTAGAAGGTAGGGTGGGCCAGACAGCATACAAGCTTACCTTACCGCCATCTAGCGGGATTCCCCAGTATTCCATGTATCTCAGTTGCGACGTGTGGTAGGGGAGCATCATGTGGATTCAAAATTGCCGGACAACTTAGAGTTGCCACTAAGTCCAACCTTTGAATCCGACTATATTTTAGCTTGGTGAAATGTGCGAGTAGGCCAACACGATGAAGATGAAATTCTAATTATATGGGTGGGGCAACCAGACAATGAGGCGACTTGGTTGAGCGTGGCATATTTCCAGCTTCAATTTTCAAACACTGACCTTGAGGACAAGGTGAATTCGAAGAGGGATGGAATTGTTAGAGAGCAACACCAAGATGAGCAAGTAATCGAGATACAAGAGGAAGAGGAGCATCGCTCATTACTGGTGTATCGATAACGGGGACGGACTTAGACCAGCTATTCGCTGGTTTAGACTTTTTTATTTATCTTTCTAATGAAGACATTATAATTGGATTTGGGCTTGGACTTTGATTATTAGGTGAGCCTAGTTTATTTTCAATAAATTAGTAGGAGTATCTAAAAAGACATATGGTTTGAAGATATTATTATTGATTTGAAGAAATAAGGACCTGGTGGCTTTTGGGCAAATGGTTGGTTCCGTTTGATTGTTTTCTATTGCTTGTTTATGTGCTCTAACATGCATGTTGAATAAAATAAAGGTCAACTTTGGTTATTGGCTAGCTACTCAATTTGAGTCTGGATCGCCTACTCAACATCTTGTCTTGGAATCCTACATTACTTTATTGGCGTTGAATTTAAGCCTCATTAATTTGGTTTATGATGATAATCTCAATTCTTTGTCTTTTCATATTACTTTATTTTTCTAGCGCTCGAACTTGTCACACATTTAGAAACCTCATATGATCGTGATGTTTATGCCCACCTTGACTCTATAGAGGCTAAACTTTGAGCCTTACGACATGACCTTGGACTTGTTTTGAGGTCCATGTCCCGCCAATCTCCCAACTAGAAGCGTGCATCCTCCCACACTATGATTCAGAGCAGTATCTCCCTCCCTTCTTTTATTTTCTTTATTTTTCTCTTTGTTTTACATTGAGGACAATGTATAATTTAGGTGTGGGGGAAGTTTGATGCCATTTGCATATTGCCTTATGTGTAGATAGTCTTTTATTTGGATTGTTACTTGCGCGGGAATTTTTTGTTGATTTGCCGATGACTTTAGGTTTAGATTGTGTCAAGTTTGACTAGTTTGAATACCATGTGAGGTTTGAGCCTATATGAGCATTCATTTTCAATGCTTTTTATTCTTTGATGGTGTGAATATTAATTTTGGATTTGATTGCTAGAACTTGCGTAGTTATGGATGTTGAACATTATTTCAAAGAGTCGATGCAATTAATATGATAAGGGCACAATAGGATTACACCACTTGGCCTATAAATTCCCTACCTCTCATCTATCGCTTAGTAAATCCTTTGAGCCTTTAACCCTTTTTTGTTGAAAAATATTTAACCTCACATCGCCTACGACCCTTTCCTTCTATAGCCGATTATTTGAACCCGTTGTTGATAATGCATTTTGAGTTCATCACTTATAGTTATTGCTATTAGACATTATGAAGGTTAAAAGAAAGGAAGAAAGATTGCAAATCAAATTTGTTTTCTTGTTGGTAGAAATTATTTCAATTGATTGCTAAAAATATATAGATACAAAAACTACAAACAAATAAAGGTGCCTAAAAAAAAGGTGCAAATTAAATAAATAAGTAACTGTGCACCAAAAAAAAAAAACATATATAATACAATAAAAATAGAGATGGTTTGATATTTGGGGAGTGTTTGTATTTTGTTGAGAGAGTACTTATTAGTTTAGATTGATGCACTTTATTTTGGGTGTGAAATCGAAAATACATATGCTATATGATGAACTTAATATGCATTGTTGATACTTAGTCTTTATATCTTTTTTTTTCTACCCCAATCAAAATCTCCGTTACAACTCTTAAAAAGAGCATTTGGTTTTTGCATTTGATTTTTATAATAATTGATTGAGACATGATATTGATGCAAGTCTATGGACTAATCATTTTCTATTATGCAAATCGAGTGATAATTAATATGTTGTTTTATTGGAGTATTGAGTGCATATACTTTTCCCTTGTGAGGTTGGTTGAACTTGGCATGATCAGGACTTGATTAAGTTAGTATTGAGATATGATTTTCGTGTTTGGCATGTTGTTACATGTTTAGTTTTATGCACATTTTGTAACATGCTTGAGGGCAAACATAGTCTATGTGTGGGGGATTGATGAACTTATTGTTCATATAACTTTTTGTACGTTAATTGCGCGTATTGACTATAAGTTTGCATATTTTCTATTGATTTTAGGTCGAATTTGATTTTGTGTTAGGAATGGAAAAAATTGAAGATATTTGTCAAAAAAAAATTATATTATTGCTTCAATTTAAGTATGCTCATGTCTAGAGAGAATTTGGATGAGTCAAGACTTTTAATGATATAATTGGAATTTTGCACCAAGAAGAAATTTGTGAAGAAAATAATAAGAAAAAAAATATATTCAAGTCATATCTCATAGGGCTGGACGACGGTTTTGATACCAACTAGAGCAAGAATTAAAAAAAAAAAATCATCTTGGCAAGAAAACGAGAACACGCGATGGCTGGAGCGATCAAAACGGTTGCACAACTTTTTTTGGTCTTCTTTCAAGTGGAATTTAATTGGTTTTGATTTTTAGCGATGTTTAGTGGCTAATTTTTTTTTTTTTTTTTTTTTTCTAGTCTTAGTTTGTATTGAAGTTTTTTAATTATGGATTTGTGAGATAGATTTGCGTTTTAATTGAACATTTCGATTAATTGATATTTGTGCAATTTATGTCTATCGTGTCTACTATCATCCGATGTTACTTATTATTGTGGTTAGGTTTTAAGTCTGTCTATTTATTGTATGCTAATTGAGTAACTCCATCCGTAATTGTGTATTTATTATATAAAGTAGTAAATAGGTTAACACACCTACCCTACGAATTCCACAATCAAATAAGAAATCTTTCATAATTAATTAATTATTCGAATTGGCTTTTTCTTGAGCTAAATTCAATTGGAGATTTTTTACTAAAGTTGTATCTAGATTAATCTTTTCAATTAGAGGGTAATTAATTGGTCGTACCATTGCCACCAACAAAGTTAAGAAAAATTAGGTGTTCGATCTAATCGAATACCTATAATCAATTTATTAATTATTTTGTTAGATTATTTAATTCGATGATCAAATTCATTATCTAATTTTTCATCCAGCCGACTTCTACTTCTTGATAAATCTGTTTTTATTTCTTTCTTTAATTGATTTATTTTAATTGGTTTAATTCAATTTTCATAGGATAACTATTTTAGTTCGTGATTGAAACCTCATATTTTAAATAAATAATCAACTAAAGAAAAACACAGTCACAATGTTTTTGGATTGACCTTATTTTCATTATTCTACAATTGATTAAAAAATAACTGATAGTTTACACCAGTCCATTGTATCACCAATCTTTAATTCATCTTGCACAATCAAATTCAAAATGTACACAACAAAAAATATAGAATAGATCACCATTCACAACAACAAATATATAATAGATCACCATTCAAAATGAGTGTTTTTCTACTATTAAACTTATCTATCATATATCTAGAACAACCAAAAGTATTTGACAAAAACGGGTGTTTGTTTTGAATTTCAAATCTAAATTTTTAATTTCTAACGGTATCAATAAACATATTTCTTTAAAAAATATGATACGAAATAAAAAAATTTCAAATTAAAATTTCAATTTCAAAAAATTTCAATAAAAATCAAAATCAAACACAACCACCTTTATTTTTTTCCTTTTATTTTCTCTTGATTTAAATAAGTATATTTTATGGCCGAAAAACTATATTCTATAAATAAGTAAAATTTATGTTTAAATATTTGTGCACATATTTTAATATAAATAAGTAATAATAATGTTTTAAATTTTTTATAATAAAAATACTAAATATTTATCCAATAAATTATAAATATGCTTATTTTTGTTTTTAATTTTTATCTTTTATTTAAACTATTTTTTTATAAAAAAATATAATTTTTATATTTTTACTATAAAAAATTCAAACTATATATATAATTTTAAAACTCGTGTTACAAAATATTTTTCTATGACAAAATTAATATAATTTTTTATTAAAGAAAACAATAATAATACTTATTTAGTTAATAAAAAACAATATAATATAAATTAATAAGAAATTTTTTTATTTAAAAATAGAAACTAAATAATAATAATAAGAATAATAATAATAACAACAAATTTTTTTGGTGTGTTTATTTTATATTTTGAATAATGTATTTTTTTAATATTAAGTCTTTTATCATTAAATCTAGTGAATTAAATATTAAAAGTAGTATATTATATATATTATTTTTTAATAAAAATTACGAAAAATCCTGTTATTGGATGAACCAAACTATATTCTTTTCCATTATTGTAGTAACACTAATAATTATTATTATTTGTTTTCATTATTATAGTAATCAGTTTTTTCCGCCCACTTATCATATTTAGGTTGAAATTTTTATCGATTTACATCTCATCACTTCCCTTTTTTATGTTATTTTTTTTAAAAAATATATATTATTCATCTTAATTTTTTTTAAAATTTTAAATTTTAATTAAATTAATTTATTATTTTAATATTAATTTATAATAATTTATATATTATAAATTAATTATTTTTACTAATATCGTATCACAATAATCAAGACATCCAATGTCAAATAGAGGATGAGAGAACTAATTATATTATTATTATTATTGTACTTATATTATATAATGGTAGTACTATTATTGTGTCTCTCACTCTCATCATCTCATCTCACCAACAAGCAGCAGCATTGAGAACCCTTCCTTCAACTTCACCCTCCCAAAAATTCTCCCATCCACAAGCTCCCCATCGCCATCTCCATCCCCTTCCATTCTCTCCCTCCTAATTCCCTAACCCTAATCCCCAATTCATTCTCAATTTTATTTCTTTGTTTTTTCATCATCCTCACTGTAATCCTTCCCCCAAACGCCAATGGAAACCCTACCCTCCACCACTCCCACTTCATCTCCCTCGCCCATTTCTCAATTCCATTAATTCTGCCATTTTCCGACCCCAACTTGTTTCCTCCCATTCCGAGGTGCCTGTTAATTGATTCCGGGGGGATCGGAAGAAATCAAGCCAGCATCTCCCAGCCCTAATTCGCGAATCGGCAAGTTGGGGGGCCAAATCGAATCCGCCAATCCTTGTGCAGATGAAGCACATCGATGCCAAGTTCAAGATGGAGAAACCGCCGTACAATCGGCCGAGGCTGCACCACTCATTACCTAAGCTCATCTTCTGGTCCCTCCTTTTCGTAGGACTCATCTTCCTATTCTTCTTCCGATCCCCCAATACAACGTCGTCTCCTCTCCCATCCGACCTCTCCCGACGCTCCCTCCGAACCAGCTCCTACGGGGGCCCCAATTTCGAGAACCGGGTCCGGGACTCCGCTAAAATCCGGTCCAGCAATGGCATTTCCGTACTGGTCACCGGCGCCGCCGGATTCGTCGGCTGCCACGTGTCTCTCGCCCTCAAAGGCCGTGGCGACGGCGTAGTCGGCCTGGACAACTTTAACGACTACTACGACCAATCCCTCAAGCGCGCCCGCCAGGCCCTCCTCGACCAGGGCGGCGTCCACGTCGTGGACGGCGATATAAATGACGTCGTATTGCTGGAGAGGCTCTTCGAGGTCGTCCGTTTCACGCACGTGATGCACCTGGCCGCCCAGGCCGGGGTGCGCTACGCCATGGTCAATCCTGGATCATACGTTCGTAGCAACATCGCCGGATTTGTTAACCTGCTGGAGGTCTGCAAGAATGCGAATCCGCAGCCCGCCATTGTTTGGGCGTCGAGCAGCTCCGTCTACGGCTTGAACACGAAGGTCCCGTTCTCTGAGAGGGACCGGACCGATCAGCCGGCGAGTTTGTATGCAGCTACTAAGAAAGCTGGGGAGGAAATTGCACACACTTACAATCACATATACGGCCTCTCGCTCACCGGATTGCGATTTTTCACGGTCTATGGCCCCTGGGGTAGGCCGGACATGGCTTACTTCTTTTTCACTAGGGATATTTTGAAAGGAAAGTCAATCCCGATCTTTGAGGCGCCTAACCATGGCACCGTTGCTCGGGATTTTACTTTCATTGAGGATATAGTGAATGGATGTTTGGCAGCATTGGATACCTCGGAAAAGAGCACAGGTAGCGGTGGCAAGAAAAAGGGGCCGGCTCAATTACGTGTGTATAATTTGGGGAACACATCTCCGGTACCGGTATCGGAACTTGTGAGTATTCTTGAGAAGTTGCTCAAGGTAAAGGCGAAAAGATCGGTTCTGAAGTTGCCGAGGAATGGGGACGTGCAATTTACGCACGCCAATATAAGCTTGGCCCAGAGGGAGCTCGGGTATAAGCCGAGAACTGATCTTCGGTCTGGGTTGAAAAAATTCGTGGAATGGTACCTAAGTTACTTCGTCGATGGGAAGAAGAGTGCACAGTGAGATATGATTGTGAGGTTGTATGGTAGGATCATTCTATTATTGTTCATTATGATTCTTGCAAATTGTTATTTGTTTGGTTAATCTTAGTTTGATTCGTTTATTTAATATTTGTATATTTTTTTATGAAAAGCGCGGTGTCCTTGATTCGACGTTGAAGAAGTGTTTTATTCTGTTGGGAGGCATTTATTGGATTGGACAAATTGCGCATGTCTTGTTGTGGCAATTGTAATTTTTTTTGTTGTGTTCTTGTTGTACAATTACTGACTGATCGATCGAATTAAATGTTTGATGTGGGCTCGTAATTTGAATCCAATAGTTCTTGCTACGTATTCATCTTTTGTAGTTATTGCGGCAATTAATTGTGGTCTCTGTTTTTACTGAAGCATTAAATAAGCTTTTGTTTTTATAATCTGATAAGCTCTTTTGTATGATCGAACAATGCTATATGTCGAGTAAGTGTTGCAGCTAATACTCAGGGCACACGTGGCTACTGATTTCTTTTGTACATAGGTGAGAAAGTTTGTCGTTTAGCTGTTGTATTATTACTATATTCTTTTCAAACATGGTGACCGGTAGCTTAGTTTGTATTATTATGTAATAAGATCTTTGATTTTGTCTAGAAATTGAATTTTATCCAATGCTTTTCTTTTGGATACGATTGCAACTAACAGCCAGGGAAGCACATGGATATGGATTTCTGCTATCGATCATTCTTCGAGCTTGAAGAAGCTGGATTTCTTGGTAAGTTATTTTCTTTCCTGTTGTTACAGGCATTTTCCTTTTTGACGATCTAATCCTGTTGAGATTGTGTTTATTTGTCTTACGAATATAGTTATTATTTAAATGTGTTTTTCTTGTCAGTGAAGTTACAGATGAATCCTCCTTTTTATCTCCTAAGAGCAAAAACAAGAACGAGTCAATTGATGGGGAGGTAATTTGGTGATGTTATTTGCACAAGGGCTTCTATTAAGCATTTCGTATTTACAATTTACCCTTTCTTGTTTTTTTGTCGAGGATAATATTGTAACATGTGCAAGCAAATTTGACATATAATGACTTTGATGACTTGAAATATGTTGTGCCGTTGTGGTCTATACTATAATTGTGTGGTGGATACTTGCAGATTGATCAATCGAAACCAATTGAAGTATTTGCTTAAACTTGCCATGTTTAGCTCTGTTTTAGGTAAGAGATTTTTTGGATCTTATCGTCGAGCGCGGAAAGAGCATCTTGTACCGGGTTGCCATTTTCTTTTCTGGGTGTATCTCTCGTTATGCTTGCTTGGGATTAAGGATATATTTAGCAATTTGCTGTTAGTTCGATTATTAGGTTTGACTAACCAGATATATTAGCTATTTGTGCTTGCAAAATCAACTATATTTAGAAGTGTCAGTTGTATTCTTTTATTTTATTTTATTTTATTTATTTTTGTTATTAAAAGTAAGAAAATGTTATTAAAATATATATATATATATTTTTATTCTTTTAGATCCTTTTAAGAAAAATATTACTTCCTTGAGGTCTGATTTTAAGGGTCTCAAGTAGTGTTTTATCTTTTAGTATTAATTATTATATAAACATATAATACAAATTAATGAAAAAAAGATAAATATTTTTATTAGTGTGTTTTAATACTATTACAATAATATTTATGTAAAAAATTATGTGTATTTTTAATTGAAAATTATATTTAATGTAAAAAAAGTCCCTAGTATATTTACTTTTATTATGATAATTTTAGGGAAAGTTGATTTTAAATACCTCCTCATACATAATAAGTTGAACTTAAGTCCCTCTTAATAATAAATTGACTTGCACTCTTTTTTTTTTTTTTTTTTTTTTTTTATTTGATTTGAACAAACTCTCTATTGGTATATTTGTCATTATTTTAATTTATGAATATTAAAAAGTAAAGAATATTTCGATGTCATATATACGTACGTGCCTACATAATTATTATATATATACATAACTCTTCCCGCTTTACTTACTATGTTGTAAATATATACCTACGTATGATTGTTATATAATTTTGCACTTTTTTTTTAAAAAATTTTTTTTTTAAAAAAAGAGAGAATAATAATTAAAGAACAACTACAAACACAATTAGATAGTGCAGTAAGGAAAAACCAACATTGACAACTTTCAATCGCAAACAAAATTCTACTCAACATTCATAATTCTCACTCGTAGCTGATTGTTTTTATTTCTGCTAACCGGTTTCCGAAATGAAAAAATATGGCGAAGAGGAAGTTGGAAGCGAGCTCATCACCTTGACGCAGCGTGAAGAAGTAAGTTTTCTTTCGTTCTTCCTAATTTTTTTTATTTTATTCACAGTTTTTAACCCTAGATTGTAGGTTCGATTGCAGTTTAAACCTCGGCCGCAATATGGTATACCTCCATTCGTCCTCGAAAAATCCTTGTTTTTTTAAAGTAGTGTTTGGGCATAGTTGTGTGTTTAGAGTTTAGCGTTTTATATTTTCGAAAGATTTTATGGGACAATAAGTTTGGTTTGGGTGCAATTGTTTAATTTTTAGATGTTGGTTGGCTGTTTTAAGAATATTAATCATGTTTAGGGGTCGACACTTGTGTTACAAGTTAAATCAGCTGAGAATCAGTTATGATATTGTTATGTACATATAATTGGATCATTTAAACCTAGCATGCTATGTCATATACGTACAGAAGTTATATGTGTACTTATGTTTTATTTTTAAGTGCTCCCCAATATACTTTAGTAAACCTATAAAATATTTCGAGGTATCCCTATTACTACTAATATATATTTTTTCACAAAATATTAAATGAATACAACTCCATAGTTAGCCGGTTTTCCGTTCCTCACTTTTATAATGAGGTGGAGAAGTTGAAAAAGGAAATGTCAGATTATCACATTAAGGAAATAAAATGCGGACTCCGTTCGAACACTTTCTAATTGTCCGAAAATGAGATTCCCGTGGCATCGATTATTGACTTTGGTCAATAGTTATGAGCCGGACAGCATGACCTTTAATATTAACATGGACATGGAGTTGCTATTTTATGTAGTGTAGTTTTCAGTGGTGCTTGGACTACATTCGAAATGAGTGTATATTAAGGATAATGCCATGGTTCATAGCAAGAGCTTCGCCGTATTTTTTTAGGGAAGCCACCCTCCTTACCTTGGTCCGACATTTTAGAGAAGCTGAAAGAGGCTTTAGCACAGGGGCTGGAGCCTCTAGCTGTTTCCAACGTTGCTCGCTTATTTATCTTTTTATTTTTGCAATATTTTATTCATGACAACAAACTATCATGTCCCTATTTTTCTTATGTGGTACGTTGATGACCTACATGTATCAGTTGTATGTAATTTACAGTGATTATTTGGCCATGTTATGATTGATCCTATCTATGGTTTTCATTGTGCATGAAGTTTTTATACATGATTAATATATTAGACTGATTGTCAACGAATACTTCCAATAATATGTATACCGTCTTAACATTCGTGCACATACCCCTATTGTTAGAGAAAGTGTTCCCACGGAGTTCCTTAATTGGCTCAATCGTCGAAGGATTGATTGTTATCGACCACATTGAAGGATACATGTAGCTATACATATAATAATTAAGTAACCACCAATCATACTTACAATATTGGTGTTTGTACCCCGAGATTATTGTTACATACGTGCACAACGGACATACCCCAATGTAGTCTCTACGTACCTGCAACATATAGTTATATGCTCCGCTGAAGTATATTAATACCCTGGTTATCTGTGATTGGGAAATATACCATGCTTGATTCAAAATATTCAATTGCTCTTCGTAACTAGGAGTAAATTCATCATTATTGTGTTTCCCCGTATACGTCGAATTGTAAGTGAAGAAAAAGAACATATTTTTACTGTGGATGGCTAAACATGTCAGACATGACACGATTAAGTTATGTAGTTTGTTACTCATGCATCATTATTCTCACGGATTGACTTTTTTTAGACCTATTATGTAATAATACAAACCGTAGAACACACAATAACATTCGGTCCACAAACGCTGAGAGAGGAAGTGCTCTCACCGAGTACGTGAATTGGCCCTTATGTGTGACAATGACTGAAATCACCTACACTTGAGGATACCTGATACTACATACATAAAACCCAAGGAACCATTATTTATACCTCACATGTCGGTGTTTGTACCCCTATCACATTCTCATGTACCTGCATAAAATAACCACATACCCTAGGACTGATATTAACTACTAATAATTATAGTCTCATATGCTTCCGTAAAACGTCTATATGCCCTGGTAACACGTGGTTAGGGTAGGGCATTTGCGGTTCAAAATTTTTACTTGCTGACGGTATTTAAAGATGAGTTCATCATAGTAGTCTTCTTGAGACACTCCGAATTGTCAGAATAGGTAAACAACACGTATTCGTTATAGATGGTTAAATAAGTTAGGCTTGACTTAGTTAAGTTGTATGATATATATGTATTATCATAGTTCAACCTCTACTTGTAGAAGTCTAACAAAGTCATAAATAACTAAGTTGAATTATGTTAATTGCTAGAGTACACTGTTGCTGCCAAAAATAGAAAATTTTTAGACTTATTACATATTTACCCAGATCATAGTGCACACAATAATTTTCGGTTAGGAGCATCTAAGCATAGGGTCTGACTCGGTTAAGCAGGTGAGTACTCTAGATCGGATGTGCTATACCCCTAATCTGGCTTCGTATACGAAATTCTACTAGGTGTGTACCTACTATTGTATTTTATGTAACTAAAAAATCTAATCTTATGAAATGATTTCCTAACTTCGTACCTTCATAGTTCTTGGTAATACTTGTGAGCATTTAGCTTACGACCGAAAGTGACCTTCATACGTTGGTACCTACACTACAATGCAAACGTGTTTCGATATGCCAATTGTAAAAGTTACTATAAAAGTGAGTTGTGTGTCTCTGATACATTGTCAGAAATCGTTGGCTTCAAGTATCATAGAAAAATGAGCAGTATTTCAAACACGTTTTTCGTGTCTATGTACGTCAATCCATTCTATTGTCCCTTTTAGTGTACCAATTACAATCAATTGTGTATGGGTCTAATAGATGCAACACAATGTGCTCCGATTCCTTCATACAGATTACAATCAATTGTGAATAGTACAGTAATACCAAAAAATGTTATTGTACTTCGAGAAGGCAACTAAATACCCCTCAGATAACCAGTATGCCTCTGTTATTTTCATGATACCTGTGTTATTGAATTATCATACACAAAAAGAGAGTGTCAAATACCCGTTGTTCGTGTTCATGTACCACAATACATCCAAATTACAATTGCGGTTCTATGCAAATAAGGTCTTGCAGTTGTATAATTAACTAAATATCAAGCACACCAAAAGTAATTACACGCCAAATGGGACATCCTTGACAAAACAAAAGATTACAACCTTCGAAAGGAATACGAAAACCGGTCTTTACAGCTTCTGTTGTGCCCGAGACGACCACAAGTATAGCATTTTCGTGACTGCTTTATATGTTGGGAATATACCATGTTTCTTTAGTCGACCAAGTTACACAGACGAAACATGAGGATTAGTACATTGATTGGAACAATATAGAAACAAATTGATGAGAACCTCTAATCAAGTGGGCATATTCAACACAGGAAATGAACTACATCTGCTTGAAGATGACACTCATGATCTTAGTTGCTATATGAAAATGAATTATTATCCACACAATTTACAATATTCAATTGCCTGAAAAACCAAATATTTGCAAATATGGTTTGAATATTAATGGATATGTTTGCAAAATTTGTTAAATGTGAGTAAACATCCTAGAGCAGGGCATTATAATTTCCCACAAAATACCCTAATTTTACCTCTAATCGAAAATCTACTCGTTCCAAATAGAGTTACTAATCTTAAAAAATTATGAGGTCTGTCAATTTGGCCATTTAGCGATGGGTGTTCGAGATCGACAATCAGGAAATGAATGGGTGTCGGAGATCGAAAAAGCGTGAGCGACCACACAGTAGGTTTGATTTTGTAGTCGTCTGTGTTTCTTCACCAATTTTTCGATTGGAAAATAATCGCAGAGTTTTCATCTTCATTGGGTGGAGAAGAAGGGTGAAAAGGGAGAAAAAAATAAACAATATGAAAAATGAGGAAGTGTAGTCCAAATTATATCAAATAGGGACTGAATCTAAATCCTTTTGGACAAATAGGGATTTAAATCCAATTACCTTAATTTTAGTTAATTTATTATTTCATTAAATTTATAATTTAAATAAATTTATTATAATAAAATTTATCTAATTGAAATTAATAATATTATGTTTTTTATTTTTATTTTAAGTATAACAAATTTGGT